TGATCTGTCTGGGAGCTAGTTTTTCTTAGTGATCAGTTTTACTCTGCTGACGTGCCTCTTATGATTAGCATTTTTCTTACTCATTGTATAGGAAAATTGTTTCCTAGAGAGTTCTACAGGATTCCAGAACCAAAGAAAATTAGAGAAACACAAAAACATAAACAGATAGACTTAGTGGAAATTAGGGTTTTAAAGACTCTCTGGCACTTGGTCCCTGGGTGCCAGCAAGCAAGAATATTTCCTTGAGTGCACATAGGGAAGATTACTATTGATAAGAGGTAAAAATGAAGTATCTATATTAATATTACAATCAGAGCCACAACAGGTTGTGAGGGAAACATATTTCCTTATTCTCCTGAGACAGAAGACTGGTGCGCAGAGAAAATGCAGACACGGAGTTCACCTTACCTAGCCTTTAAGGTCAACAGCACCTCAGTTTCAGCTGCTATCTTTCCAAAACTAAGGAAAAGGCCTGCACTCCAGTTTCTGAACCCTCTCCAGAATTCTCTTTTAAGCCTTCTGTAGCCAACTCTCAGTGCTCTCAATGCTGTCAGGCTGGAATTCCAACCTCTCAATCCTTTTCCCCCTGCAGCTCAACTTCAGAGTTCCATACAGAAAAGTAGTTCCTTCCCCCAATTGATACACTACAAGAAAATCTGATTTCTCCTGCTTCTGTTATCTGTGGTCTAACTTCATTTGATGTGGTATTCAATTTTGTTTTTCCTTCCCACTACTTTTGAATATTTTAATTCACTGCCAGTTTAAGATTTGAACTACTTTTGATTAAAAAAAAAATAATACTGTGATGAGGTTTTCTCTATTAGAAATATCAATTGTTGCAAAATCTCACAGATGTTTGCTCAGGAATTTATTTTGATCTCTGAGGAATTTCACTATTAACTAACAAAAGTGGAAATACATCCTTAGCGATCTACTGTTGAAATGACTCAGGAATATGTGCCACATTTGATCTTTTGGTCATATTTATAATTTTTGTCATCTTGAGTGTTCCTTGACCCTGCATAAATTTGCCTCCACCTTCCATGAAGGCCTATTAAAATGAAAATCATGTCAAGGAACATTTTATTCCCCTCCTACCTATATTTTGTATTGTAGAATGTAGGCAAACTTTACAAAACTTCATGGTAGCATTCTTTTTTACGTAGGAAGGAAATACCAGGGTATCTATGACCACATTTCAATATTTAGTATTTAAACCAAACATGGTTAACCTAGGATATTTTTTTCTTTTTTGGGGGGTGGGTCCAGTCATGGGGTCTGAACTCTGGGCCTGGGCGCTGTCCCTTACCTCTTCAGCTCAAGGCTAGCACTCTACCACTTGAGCCACAGTGCCACTTCTGGCTTTTTCTTTTTGCTTATGTGGTGCTAAGGAATCAAACCCAGGACCTCATGCATGCAAAGCAAGCGCTCTACCACTGAGCCACCTTCCCAGCCCAACCTAGGATATTTTTATATAGGAACTAAATCAAATCTTATAAGGGCCCCAAAAATCATTAGCTTCTTTCTGAAGTACTGCTACTGTGTTTTAACATTCATGTGGACACTGCTTTTCATAGATCTGGTCATGTTCTATGTTCTGTATTCCATGTGATATTCTGAATATGTTCTGTTTGCTTATTATAGTACTTGTTAATAGAAGATCTAAATAGGATGTATGGTGATGTACTACATGTAAATGCAGGAAAAATATTTGTGTAATTCATTGTTACCCTGATATGTACTAAAATTTTATCAAAAAATGATAATATAATTTTTAAGATACCCCCTTAGACTTATTGTTGTCATGACAGATTATTGTCTGCTTAGAATTTTTTTTTTTTGGCGGGGGGTCTGGTCCTGGGGCTGAACTCTGGGCCTGGGCGCTGTCCCTCAGCTCTTCAGCTCAAGGCTATTGCTCTACCACCTGTGCCATAGCGCCACTTCTGGCTCTTTTCTTTTTGCTTATGTGGTGCTGAGGAGTAGAACCCAGGGCCTCATGCATGCAAGGGAAGTGTTCTACCACTGAGCCACCTTCCCAGCCGTCTGTAGAATTTTTACCTTGTCTCTATTGCTAGCAGCAGAAATGTGTTTGCATGCATTAGGGAAACTGTAATTTTTTATTGGTCTTGGGCTTCAATTCTGGGCCTGGCTGTTGTCAATCAGCTCTTCGGGTCAAGGTGAGTGCTCTACCCCTTGAGTTACAGTGCTAATTTCAGTTTTCTGGTGGTTTATTGGAGATAAGTGTCTCATGGACTTTCCTGCCTGGACTGTCCTTGAACCATGATCCTCAGAACTCAGCCTCCTGAGTAGCATGGATTACACGCATAAGCCACCAGGGCCCTACAAATCTGTGTATTTTAATGACCAGGTTTATATATTGTCAAATATTTCTAATTTGCTATTTAATTCTCCCAGTGAATAGATAACACAGCAAGCTACAAACATTTTTTGTAAGACAAAAGCATACCTGCAGCATAATGAAATTCCAGATTGGAGTTCTCATAACCCAGGTCTGATTTCTTGATGGACATGTGCCATTACAGAATTTGATATCATTTGAGGATGTGGCTGTGGACTTCACCTGGAAGGAGTGGCAGGATCTGGATACTGGTCAGAGGACCCTTCATAGAGATGTGATGCTGGAGACCTATAGCAACCTCATGTCCTTGGGTGAGCAAAGGTCATTTTTACTTGGAAGATCAAGTGTTTTTATTTTATTAGACATTAGACTGTTTAGGTTATTTAGGGATAAGATTCCAGTCCATTGGAATTTTCATTTCTTTCTAAGGGAAACTTCAACTTGATTATATGTAACTCAAGAGCTAATTTTATTCTCACTCTTTAACAAAGCAAATCAGTAATTGGAAAAAAATCCTAAACTATGTTCCACTAATACGAGACTGACTTCCCAGACTTGGAATGATTATTGAGGTGGATCTGCAGTCTAGATAGAATATACATTACTACTGATTATGATGTGGAAATCAGTAGTTGAAAGTGTGTATTTGTACACCAAACCCAATATAGAGTTTAGTGCTTCAAGCTTTGAATTCTAGATACTCTGGAGGCTGAAATCTGAAGATTTTGGTTTGAAGCCAGCAACTGTAGAAAAATGACCATGAGACTCTTATCTTCAATTAACCATTCAAAAACTAGAAATGTAGCTATGATTCAAACTTGTAGAATGCTATCTTTGAGCAAAAGAGCTGAGTTCAAGCCACACAATTGGCACAATAAACCAAAGCTGGGGAAACTCCACAATTGGGCTGTTAAGAATTGAGAAACTGCTACTCAGAAGGCTGAGATCTGAGGATCGCGGTTCAAAGCCAGCCCGGGCAGGAAAAACCGTGAGACTCCTATCTCCAATAAACCACCAGAAAACCGGAAGTGGCCCTGTAGCTCAAGTGGTAGAGCCCTCGCCTTGAGCTGAAGAGCTGAGGGACAGCGCCCAGGCCCAGAGTTCAAGCCCCATGACCGACAAAAAAAAAAAAAAGAATTGAGAAACCATGGGCTGGGAAGGTGGCTCAGTGGTAGAGTGCTTGCCTTGCATGCTTGAGGCCCTGTGCTTTGATTCCTCAGCACCACATAAGCAGAAAAAAAAGCTGGAAGTGACGCTGTGGCTCAAGTGGTAGAATGATACCAAGACAGGGATTCTGATCAAGCTGCCAATTTTTATTTTTCACACAAGGGTATTTATATGCTTGGAATAAGTAAGCTTTTTCATTGGCCGAAGCAGCTGCAGGGTGCTTGCTTAGGGCAAGGTGAAAAGGTGGTTGTTAGTAGCTGCAGGGTGTTTACTTAGGGCCGGGTGAAAAGGTGGGATTCTGTAAACTCAGCCTCAAGATGTTCCAGTGAGATCGTTCAGCCTATTATGTTGAGAGACTTAACTTTTGGCTCCCAACACTCCCCCCCCCCCCAAAAAAAACACAATTGAGAAATAAGATTTAGTAGCAACCTTGGAAACAGGATGTCTGTGACCTTACACTAATGATGACCCTGCAAGAGCAATAGTTCTCCACTATTTCTTAATCACAGGGCTCTGTGTTCCTAAACCTAAATTGATTGTCAAGCTGGAGCAAGGTGCAGAACCATGGATAAGAGAAGGCTCAGAAGAGAATTTCACAGGTGAGTTAAAGCATCTTGAATGGTAATGATGGGTCCAGAGCCCAGTTGGTCTGTTTAACTTGAGCTGTACAGAGCAATAGTATTCCTAGTGCTGCTGAGTCATGTATGGCAGAGAAGTAGGTGATCCTTTGTCTCAAGGAATTGTCAATCCAGAATTCACATGGAGACAAACTGAATTTTGTGTGCCAGTGTAGTTAATGTTAGCAATTCTCTTGTCTTTAGAGAAGTCATTCTTGAAGAAAGAAACACAATGAGAAATGTAGAAAAGGAGAACTCATTTTCCTTTAAACTAGTATGATGCAGGTAGGAGGAAAATAGGAGTATGCTAGGGCTGCTATCCTCTGATTGGTACAATTTCTTATCAGTGGTGCTGGGCATAGAGTAAGATTCAGAATGGAAGCATTAAGAGTACGTAGATGAATAATTTCAGTAAACATTTCCTGGAGAAAAAAAGAAAAATCTGAAAAACCGAAAACTTTGTTTTCTATTGTAAAATATCAGTACTACTTTCTTAATTACTACATTGGGTAGAAAAGTATATATTCTGCATAAAACTGTGCTTTGATATTTGAAAATCTTGTAACAGAAAGTAAGGAAATATCTTTACATTAAGGAATTTATGGATCTCATTTATGTTTTTCTCTATTTTTCTATTATTCATTTTAGATGTCCCAGAATTGGAGGATGTGATTAGCACCTGCCAGGAACGTCACAATAAGGATCTCTCTGAAGTAGCAGTCATGAGTAGTAACCAAGGGAAGGAAAAAGTGAGACTTATAAGTTTTAATTTGAGCTCAACACAGAAGTCAGAACTGATTAAGAATAATGGGAACTCCTTAGGGATGAGGACAGAAAAGTTCACTGTGTGTCAGAACATGGATGCTTTCAGTGAACCTGGTAAGATATGTGCTGCATATAGACCTCATGTGTCTTCTGTAGTTGAAGAATATAAACAGTGTGAAAGGTCTTTCACTGAGAAGACACACCTTATTCTCCCTCAGAGAACACAAACAGGAGAGAATCCTTATGAATGTAACATGTGTGAAAAGATTTTCACATGTAAGGCATATCTTACTGTCCACCAGAGAATCCACACAGGAGAAAAACCATATGAATGTAATGTGTGTGGAACGTCTTTCGCTCAGAATTCACACCTTACTGTCCACCAGAGAAGACACACAAGAGAGAAACCTTTTGAATGTAACATTTGTGAAATGTCTTTCACCTGTAAGTCAAGCCTTACTATCCACCAGAGGACACACACAGAAGAGAAACCTTATGAATGTAATGTGTGTGGAAAGTCTTTCACCCGGAAGCGAAACCTTACTGGCCACCAGAGAACACACACAGGAGAGAGACCTTATGAATGTAACGTGTGTGGAAAGTCTTTCACCTGGAAGACAAACCTTACTGTCCACCAGAGAACACACACAAGAGAGAAACCTTATGAATGTAACATGTGTGGAAAGTCTTTTTCTGGCAAGCCAGGCCTTACTGGCCACCAGCGAACACACATAGGAGATAAACCTTATGAGTGTAACATGTGTGAAAAGTCTTTCACCTGGAAGTCAAACTTCATTGTCCACCAGAGAACACACACAGGAGAGAAACCTTATGAATGTAACACATGTGGAAAGTCTTTCACCCGGAAGGCATACCTTACTTTCCACCAGAGAACACACAGTGGAGAGAAACCTTATGAATGTAACTTGTGTGGAAAGTCTTTCTCCAAGAAGGTACAATTTACTGTCCACCAGAGTACACACACAGGAGAGAGACCTTATGAATGTAACTTGTGCGGAAAGTCTTTTACCTGGAAGTCATCGTTCACTGCCCATCAGAGAACACACACAGGAAAGAAACCTTATGAATGTCATATGTGTGGAAAGTCTTTTAGACAGCAGGTATACTTTACTCTCCACCAGAGAACACACACAGGAGAAAAACCTTATGAATGTACCATTTGTGGAAATTCTTTCACCCAGAAGTCAAACCTTACTTGCCACCAGAGAACACACACAAGAGAGAAACCTTATGAATGTAACATGTGTGGAAAGTGTTTCACCTGGAAGTCAAACCTTACTGTCCATCAGAAAACACACAGGAAAGAAAACTTATGAATGTCATATGTGTGGAAAGTCTTTCAGCCAGAAGCCAGACCTTACTGTCCACCAGAGAGCACACGCAGGAGAGAAATTTAATGAATGTAACTTATGTGGAAATTCTTTTCACCCAGAACATACACCTTTCTGTCCATCAGAAAAAACCCCACCAGAGAGAAATGTTATGTATGTAGCAGGCATGGAAATTCTTTCACCTGGTAGGCACACCTTAACATCCATCACATAACATAAAGGCAGAAACCTTATAAATGCAACAGAGTTCACAGCGAAATACACATAAGTTGATTCACACAAATGAAATAACTTAGGATTGTACCAAGTGGGGAAAGTCTTTCATCTGTAAGAAAATTGAAATTGCAACACAGGACCCACACGGCATAGAAACCTTATGGTATAGCAGATGTAGAGTCCTTCAATTAGAAGACACAGCTCAGGGTTCATCACAAAACACACAGACACACACACACCCACTCACACAGCAAGAGGAGAGAAATCATATGTAGGAAAATAAATGGAAAGGTTTTCAAGAAAAAGTCATAACTCAGTTTGCATCAGAGAACAGACACAAGTGAGAAAATATAAATGTAAAAAATGTGGATAGGGGGCTGGGAAGGTGGCTCAGTGGTAGAGTGCTTGCCTTGCGTGCATGAGGCCATGGGTTCAATCCTCAGCACCACGTAAGCAAAAGGAAAAAAGCTGGATATGGCACTGTGGCTCAAGTGGTAGAGCGTTAGCCTTGAGCTGAATTGCTGAGGGACAGTGCCCAGGCACAGAGTTCGGGCCCCACAACCGGACCCTCCCCCAAAAAGAAATGTGGATAGTACTTTACCAAGTAGTCATGGATACAGGTTCATAGGACACACACAGCGGAGTAATCTTAAAAATATTACAAATGTGGAGAGCCTTTGATCTGAAAGGAATAGCTCAGTGTTCATCAGAGAACTGACTCACATGGGAGAGAAGAAAGTAGTGCATAGAACATTTTTGAAATGATTTTCAATCAGAATTGAATCCTCAGCATATGTAAGAGCATACACAGGAGAGAAATTATGAGTTTAGAAAACATTTGGCCAGAAGTCCCATCTGTACAGGTATCAGAGACCTGGACACATGACAGAATCCCTGTAAACATAAACATGAGAGGAAGTCTTTCAACCAGAAGCCAACCTTCTGCAGTTATTAAAACATTCACCCAGGAAAGAAGCCCAATGTAGGAAAATCTTTGTCAGAAAACCTCCGTAAGATGCTGGAGGGGGTGTGGACAGAAAGGAACCTTACTTCATTGTTGGTGGGAGTGTAAACTTGTTCAACCACTTTGGAAAGCACTTCACATAGAGCTCCCCTATGACCAAGCAATCCCTCTTTTGGGCATTTACCCAAATGTTTACAAACAAAATCACACTAAAGCTACCAGCACAACTTTGTTTATTGCAGCATTATTTACCATAGCTAATATATGGAACCAACCCAGATGCCCCTCAGTAGATGAATGGATCAAGAAAATGTGGTATATATACACAATGGAATTCTATGCCTCCGTCAGAAAGAATGGCATTGCCCCATTTGTTAGGAAAAGGAAAGGCTTGGAAAAAATTATATTAAGTGAAGTAAGCCAAACCCAAAGAAACATAGGTCCCATGGTTTCCCTTATTTGCAATATCTAGTATATGTATGAGTCAAGCAGAAAAGGTCAGATAATGTGATGTTAGGAAAATGAACCCTTCGATATGTATTTAAATGTTTTTTTTTCTTTCATGCATTTGTTTTTAACACATTTATAAGATTATTTCTTTGTTGCTTTGTATGTCCTTCCCCCACAGTATAACCCCTGCTTTCCCTATATTTGATGTCGGTATAATTTGTGGAGGAGAAGGGAAAAACAAGTCGTTTAAGGTTACAGGTGGACCCGTTGCAACAATGAGAAGTACAAGTTGTCATGTCGAAAATGAACTTTACAACTTTGTTGGGGGGGGCAGATCGTGGGGGGGGGACAGGGGAAGGCTGGGAGGGATGTGAAGGGTAAACAAAGGAGGAGGCTACAATGCTTGATAAGAAATGTACGCATTAACCTGCCCATGTAATTGTAACCCCTCTGTACAGTATGCTCACAAAAAATAAAAATAAAATAAATAAAAAGAAAATGAACTTTACAACTTTGGTGGGGGGGGGAGATTGCGTGGGGGGGCGAGGGGAGGCTGGGAAGGGATGTCAAGGGTAAACAAAAGAGGAGGCTGCAATGCTTGATAAAAAATGTACTCATTATCTCGCCCATGTAATTGTAACCACTCTGTACAGTATGTTCACAATAAAAAAACGAAAAGAAAAAGAAAAGAAAACCTCTGTAAATTATACAGAGAAATCCTTCATAGCAGATGTAAACTGGGTGTGATGGGAAACCATTCTTCACCCTTCAGCTCTCTAAGCCAACATTTCTCATCCTTTCATCGTGTTGAGTGGGGATGGTGTCATTCAATATTATCCAAAGCATGTAGAAAAAACCAGTCTCGACAAGTAATTCAGAGATTGAAGTTATTAACTTGTGTCTTTTATACTAAGGAATAGTTTGTTAGGGTAATTTGATAAACTCTTCTTAGAAAAATGAGCTCTGGCCCTTTGGGACTGGATTCAGACCATCTCCAACATGGTTAGGGGAACAATAGATGGGTAAAGACTGTTATGATAGGAGGCAAGAACATGAGAACAACCAGTTTTCTACTGCTCCCTTATGTCTCCCTCTGTATGTGTGATCCATGTCTTATAGTACAAATGACTTGCTATTCCAGTTCAGTTTTGAATGGAAGATCTGATGGAAGATATTACTCCTTATTGCAGTACATCCATAGTAGTAAAATCTTTCTCAGAGCGGTAACAATGCTTGATAGGAAACGTATTCATGACTTCCTCATATAATTGTATAATCAATCTATACAGTATCTTTACAATAAAAATTCAAAAATGTGGTGGATAAATAAAGACAAGAGTCTGCATTTTGTCTTAGGGGAGAACCCCAAAATGTCTTCAGTGCTTGCTTTTTTCTTTAATTACTGGTGATGAATAACTTGTGATTGATTCACTCTTAGCCCATTTAGTTGTTTTGCTGAGTGAGCTGTGATAAAACACCAGTGTGGACGATGTGATGAGCCTGCATTTTCTCAATGTTCTAGAGGCTGATTACAAATTTTATTGCCCTTACTTTGAAATACAATATGATGTTCCATATTTTGTTTGTGCAATGAGTATATATCCATACCATGAGTATATATCCAAAACCAAGAACACATATATTTCTGAAGTGGGTATCTTTTTTTTTTTTTGGTCCAGTTGTGGGGCCTGAACTCTGGGCCTTGGTAATGTCCCTCAGCTTTTCAGCTCAAGACTAGCGCTCTACCACTTGAGCAACAGCGCCACTTCTGGCTTTTTCTTTTTGCTTATGTTGTGCTGAGGAATCGAACTCAGGGTATCATGCTTGCAAGGCAAGCGCTCTACCACTGAGCAATCTTCCCGCCCCGAACACATATATTTCTTTGATATGAGAAGAAGGCTTTCATTTGCTATCTCATAAAGGACTAAGATAGATAAGACATTAGGCAAAATAAGACATTTTGCAATCACTCGCAAAAATTTAAGTTAACAAAAAATAAAACTATCTGCCACTTGAGCTATAGCATCACTTCTAGGCCGAGAGGAAGGAAGGAAGGAAGGAGGGAAGTGAGAGAGGGAAAGGGGAAGGGAAGGAAGGAAGAAGAAACAAATTATTCGAAAGAAGAATGTTTAATATTTGGTGAATGTGAGAATTATTCTTTCAGAGGTGGGGCTCAAGAAAAATGGCTTTTACATAAAGCAAATTCTTGAACTGTTTAGAAAATGATACAGACGCTGTAGCATTTTATAAATTGATTTACTAATTCAGTAATATTAAGTAAGGAGGTCAGGTGTGGCTGGTGCCCTACTTGCCACATGGTGGATGGTGGGGTCTGGCATCTTGTCTTCATGCAGGGGGAAGGAAAAGCCCCATCCATCACTTGCCACCCAACTGATGGGTGTGGCTGGATCCCTGCAAGCAGGCATGGGCATTTGGCTGATATGTTACTCAATCTGTTAGTTCAGTTCCTGGGACTGGGAATTTCCTGTGGACCTGCCTCCTGCTTAGGCCCTATTTAGGCTGGACCAGCAGTGGCACCAGATGCCATGGTACATGTCTCTGTGATCATGTCCTGTGTCCTGTCTCCTGGCTTGTCTCTGGTCATCTTAGTGTCCCAATTCAGCACTCTCTCGGTTCTGATTGGTTTCTTGGTGTTGTTTTTATTCTTTTTTCCCCCTTTCTGTCCTGTTTCCAAGCTGTCTAAGTGTATTTGTGGACAGCAAGTCTTTGTTACAACAGGTTGCTTGCAGACTGCTAGCTGTGTAATAGACTCCAGCATTCCATCTTCCAAAATGTGGCATTCTACAAATATACTGTCTTCTTTTACAGAAACACAAAGATTGACCTAAATTTAGAATTTCTTGAGCCAAGATAGATGCCACTGTATAGTTATGTAATTAAAGATATCCTGGAGGCATTTAGAAGAAATGTCTGTTACATCAGAAAGTGCTTAATTAGTAAACCAAGACCAAGACTGTAGATCCTATATAAGCCAATCATTCTAGATATGTCCAGAGCTGTTTGGTTACATGAAGAGCTCTACTTTCACACTTGCATGAAGAAATATTTTTGTGCCAGTATGAGGTGTTGACCTCAGGAACTGAGGTGAAGCCAGACAGTGCTGGCTTCAAAGGAGATTCTCTCATCTTGACCTCCATAAAAGCTAGGAATCAAAGCATGAGCCCTGTGGGCTGTTCTGAAGAAATCTCTGTCTGGGAACAAGAGGTTTCATTCAATGCTTCGCCTCTGGCTTCCTGTC